GAGCTTTGCAGCAAATATACTCTCGCCTCCCTCCTCTGCAGTGGTCGGGACGCCAGGGAAGTACTGGTGTGATGCTGCCTATGAATGAAGGGCTAAATGAATGAGGGATGGACGGCAGGAAGCACACAGGGAAGACGATGCGGGCGTTTCTGCGGTGAGCAGGGGCACAGGTTTGAAGCCAGCGGCTGGGGCGGAGGATCGGGGGCCGGCAGGGAGAGGGCTGAGGTACAAAACCAACGCCTCACCTCTTGCCCAGCTGTGGCACTGAGACCTATGAGTGCTTATGCAGTGACGCGCGTGTGACTTCATTCCTATGTTTGTTTTTGTTAATACGATTGTTGTGGGAGAGATGGGGAAAGAAGACCTCATCGCCGATAGTCCAGTTCGCGGCAGGCTGCACGACGTCGCTCTGTGCTCTGTGAAGTCCTCCTAACCCATCGCTGCTTTCCCCATTTCCAGATCTCTGAGGTTGTGCAATAGTGTGCCTCCACGCTGATGGTGGCATGTTACACTTCGTATTTTGGATATTTACTGTCTGATTATTAGGTCATAGGTTCTGTAGAAGAGCAGTGATGTAACTGTATGGAATTTCCCGTAAGGCCTTGAGCACACTTGGTGCTCAATAAATAAAGACTGGAATCATCTGCTCTGGGCTGGGCCACCAGGCAACCTTCCTGGTCTTCTCCAGTAAGCTGCCTGTGTCTCTCAAGGTCACATCCAACCCATCACTGGTTGGTGTTCAGTCCAGCCCTCTGCGCAGGTCATGGCTCTCAACCATCTCACCCAGTGGTTTGTCCTGTCAGGTTCATTTAAAAGCTACCCATTGTTCCTGAGTGTTTGTGCCCATGGACATGTGACATCGTTCACTTTCTGAACGAGCGTCTTTTTAATTACCTACTAAGGGCGAAACTCTGTGCTAGATGGTTATGGGCCAGGGCATCAGTGCTGCCGCAGTAAGTGGTCCCGAGGCTGGAGAAGTGGGAATCCACTCTGAAGTTCCTTCTCTAGACACAAAATTGAGGGAAGCTCTCAATTCACACTCGTGGCTTAAAATTAAAACTCTTTAGACAATGGAATTTGTATGAATTTGTAACCAGACATTCTGAATGCACAGAAAATTCACATTTCTTTAACTTTTAAAATTAACTTAAATTAAATGCCAGCTTTTGTAAGGGGGCGTAGAGCTCAGTGGTAGAGTGCATGCTTAGCATGCACAAGGCATGCACGAGGTCCTGAGTTCAACCCCCAGTACCTCTGTTTAAAAAGATGAAAATTTGAAGAAGCAGTGATTTCAAATTTCCCAAATGTGTTGAAAATAAAAATGTAATTCTACATACTACAACCTTCGGAGCAAACACTAAAACTATATAAAGAGAATTAGAGCAAAAGAAAAAATGGAAGAAGCAAGTTGAGTATTAAAAAAAAAAGATTAAATGTGGGTTATTTTTCTGATTGCCTCTCCCCAGAGACACGCGAGAATCTGGGGGACTTTGCAGTGCTGGGAAGTGGGATGTCACCTGTGATTCTTAGCCCATCGCCTGGTCCGCCGGCAGTCTCCTCCTCCAGGCACGCCATCCCTTTCAAGCAGCCATGCTCAGTTTCTCTTTCAGGGATGCAGGGATGCAGCTTCCAAAGGGGGCTGAGAAGCTGAGAGCTTCTGCATGTCCCAGGGCTATGCCAAGTCCCTGCCACTCTCAGGGCTTCTCAGGAAACCTTCCTCTGTCCACCTCCCACCTCCCTTCCTTCAAAGGCTGCCTGTCTTTCTCTCCCAGCTAGATGTCCCAAATAAGCTCTTCACGTAAGACAGAAATTCAGGGAGACTGCCTTCTGCTCCGCAAACACTCCTGGAGCTAGAAAAATTGCAAAGCTCAAGATATTTTCTCAGGACACCAGGAGAGAAAATGCAAAAAAGCAAACCTACCTCACTATCCAATAAAATATGTAGCCGAAATAGCAAAGCATATAACCATCAAATTGTGCGTCTGAAATATAAGTAGTTTACTGTACACAAATTACACCACAGTAAAGTTGTTTAAGGAAAAAAGGCATAACAGCTTAAGGAAGAAAAACGAAAGTTCAGGAAAGAAAGGGCAAGCGAAGGAGGAAATCCGTCCTTGCCGTCAGTCAACAACAGCACTGCTGGGGGTGTTGAATGGTGTCCCCCAGGTTCGTGTGTTGAAGTTCTAATCTCTACCACCTCCCCACATGACTTTTTGGAAATAGGGTCATTGCGGGTGTAACGAGTTCAGATGAAGTCACGCCGGAGCCGAGTGGGCCCTAACCCCATGTGACCGGTGTCTTCCTACAGAGGGTACGTTTGAAGACAGACGGCTGCCCGAGCTGACTGAGACAGGTCAGTTCAGCACAAACAGTGTTTGAGTAAAGGGACATCTGAGTTGTGATGTAAGGAGCAATGAGATTTCCCTCCCAAAAATACCCAGCTCCAACTTCACAGATACACACACAGGGGTCTCCTGGCTCCTCAGTAGCAGCTTGTGGGGAGAAGTTCTAGGAAACGTTGTTGCAGCACAAACGTCAAGAGAGAAGGGACAGAGGTCGCTCTAGTCAGGCGTGGCGCTAAGGGGGGTTCGGGGTGAGATATGGTGATTTTTTTCTTTAGTGGAGGTACTGGGGAGTGCACCCAGGGCTTCATGCGTGCTGAGCATGTGCTCTACCACTGAGCTAGACCCACCCCCACCGGGATATTATGATTTATAACAAAAAAATGTATTTTTGGCCCTTATCATTCCTGACACAAAGCTCCTAAAACACTTGCAATTTCTTTGGAGTGGGTGATGACACCAAAAAAGGTATCTTTTGCTATGTTATTGTGGGGACTTCTGGAGAGCCCCTAGGTCACTTACGGTGGGGCTGATTGCCAGGGCACCCAGCCATGTGATTGTAGGGTTAGAACTCTCGTTCCCACCCCTAAACTTCCAGGTGGGGGAGGGGGTTGAAGGTTGAGTCCAATCACCAAGCGTCAATAAGTTAACCAGTCATGCTCATGTAATGAAGCCTCCGTGAAACCCCCAAAGGACAGGAGTTCAGAGAGCTTCCGGGGTGGTGAACACCTGGGGATATGGAGAGACAGGTGCATCTGGAGACACTGGCGAACCGGGTACCAGTGCATCCTTTGCCCAGACCTCGTCCTGTGCATCTCTCCCACTGGCTGCTCCAAAACTGTATTTTTGGGTAATAAACCGGTAGTCTGCTAAGTGAAATTTTCTCTGAGTTCTATGAGCTGGTTCAGCAAAGTAACCCTGTCCTGGGAGGGGGTCCTTGGATCCTCGAGTACAGCTGATCAGTCAGAAGCCTGGGCAACAATGTGCACTTGTGATTGGCATCCCAGTTGGGGGTGATGGGGGCGGTCTTGTGGGACACAGCCCTTAATCTGTATAATCTGATACTCTTGCCAGGAAGAGTGTCAGAACTGAGTTGAACTGTAGGACAAACATCCAGCTGGTGTCGGAGAATTGCTTGGTGGTGCGGAAAAAGCTCACACATCAAATTGGGAGCAGAATCTGACAAGGACAAGTCAAGATGGCCCTGGGTGAAAAAAATACATCACTTTTGGACAGTTCCCTCGGTCCCCCAGGAATGAGCCTGCAGAGAAGCTTTATTTTTATCATGATATATAGTTTTTTCCAGATAAAGTGAATTCCCAGAGCTCGAATTGTACTCATATCCATAAACAAATATGTAAACAATCCAAAAACCAAAGTTAGTGATTTTTTTCAACTTAACTATGGTTTTTAGAATGTCACTGAATCTCCTCTCATCTTTTAGTGTGAATTGTTAAGAACTGGCTGTTCTCATTAAAGTATAAGGACGCTAATTGGCTTTAAAAAGCCTTGAGAAGATACTGTGTGGAAAATAAAATACAGTATGAGTTGAGTTCCATTAAAAATATACACAGCTGGAAAGACGTGAAGTGAATTAACAGTTATCCCTGGGTGATACAACTATGAGTAATTCTTCTTCTCTTCATTTTGTTTTACTCTGTTTTTCATATATTTCCAAATGCATTTCCTTCTGGAATCACGGGGAGAAGTGTGGTTAATCTTCTTCTGATCTTTCAAATCCATCTCAGTGGCATCTGAGTTGGACTTGCTATGTGGGTTTTCTGAGTAATTTCCCCTTCTTTTGCCCTGACTGGTAGGCACGCTCCGGCAGGGGCACGGCACTGGGTTGTGCAGCCCAGACGTGCTGGCTCTCCGCGGGCCGGCCACCGTGATCGCGGACCTGTGCTGCCCCTTGAGTCTCTTTCACTGTCTTCAAGCCCCTGGATCTGCCCCCTGCCCTGAGGGCTGGAGCCCAGGGTTGGGCTTATCCAGGATGGGGAAAGGCAGTGAGCCCATATCCTTCCTGTAGAAGTGAGTACTTGTAACCAGAGGTCAAGTGCAAGGATGTGCCAGGGAGAAGGCTGCATGTCCCGGGAAGACCGATCTGAGTCTGGAGGGCGTGAAGCAGTCACTGGAGCCAGGCATGCAGAGCGCTTGGCTCCGGGAGCCGGGAGAGGGATGACGGCGAAGAAGAGAGGCTGACGGTGGAAGCAGATACCAGGCTGGCCTGGTGCATCCAGGGTGTCAAGGACTGAGTGGGTGACTCAGAACTGGGGCTCTTGGGCTGAGACGCCCGCTGTTTGGATTGCTGATCGGGTCACACGGAGAACGGTGGTTCTCGGCCCACCCGTATGCTGGGCTGGTGCCCACCTGCTGCTGTCTGCAGCAACTCACTCCTTCTGAAAGGGCCGGGTTTGGGGCACTGGGTCCCCAGGATGCTGGCTTTCACTTTAGAACACAAGGAGTACTTTCCCCAGTGGCTCATCTCTGCCCCATCTTGCCGAGAAGGCTGTCTGAAATGTGTGTATTAATTATTGATAACCTTGTTGATTTTTAAAGTGTACTTGCCTTGAGCAATGGTGGTTTGTAAAAGCATGCAATTACCTTAAGCACACGCCAAGGAGAGACTTCACTACACTGACCCACTGAGAATGAAGGTAATCTACAAAAAATACTTTAATATGTTACAGCACCTTATAATACAAGAGACCAATAGTCAACAGCATCACATATGGAGAAAAAAAAATATATATATATATATTTCCTTAAAACTGAGGCCTATAAACACTCAAGACAAAGCTTTAAAATCTTAGTGAATTAAACAGTCCTTTCAACAGAGGGCGATGAATTATTGCCTAAAACAGCCTCACTGAGAATTTGTCCGCTTGTTTTAGGACCATGATTCTCTCTATTAACCCAGCAACCAGACTCCAAACTCCAGACAGTCAGACTAGGAGCCTCCATTTCTGATGAGTCAGCCACACGATTTCACTCATCTTCCAACTTAAAACAGGTGACTTTCATGTCATTTACCACTAAACAACAGAGGCGAGTCTTACTTTTTAAACCATATGCTATCACTAATGTCTGATCTCTGTTAGGTTTCGTAAGACAAGATTTCATCCATATTATTACAGCCTAAACTAAGCAAGAGTTGAAATCACCGCAGAATACTTGACCTTAACACCTAAGTTGAGATACCTCGGTTAAATTGCCCTTTGTTTTTCTAATGAAACGGAATCTATCTCATGAAGCTGACACTCATGTTTAAAAACCAGGAAGAAAAAAAAATAGCACAAAATGTTATGTAATCCGAACTTGAATTTTACTCTAATGCTAAAAGTTCCTATTTCAGCCCCTTCGGAAAAAATGAACATTGGAATATTTGAAACATTAAGGCTATGAAAATCCTGACAGTGCATAAGGAAGGGGGCAGCGGTGTAAAAACACCTGGAAAATGTATTTAAATAGCTTATTTTTCAAGTGCAGTTTATTATTTATACTCCCATCTGAGGAAAGAGAAACGCAATTTCCCTCAGATCGAGTGAAACTGACTTCAGCTCAGGGGATCTGGGCTTCAGATCCAGGCTTTGTTTCAGATCATAATGATTGGACACCTACTGTATGCCAGACAGCATCTCTGTGCTTTCCCATACGTGCCCTTTCTCTGTTGAAAAACGTTGCCGATCAGCAAAGTACACTCATTCTAAGTTAAAAAAAAGGAACCTTATTATGTTTATACTGATTATATCAAGGTCATCATTACTTAGATATGCTCAAGAACCCGCAAGGGGAAAATGTATTCCAATTCTTTTTCTTTTCTTTCTTAAAAACATAAAATAAAATGAAAAATAGATGGCAATCATTCTTTTGCAGACAGGACACAATTCAGCTGAATTAGTGTGACTTAAAATTTGAAGTAGGAATATCTTTTCTGAGGGAAAAAAAAGAGGGAAAAACCAAACTTTCAAAGTCACCAAGTCTCAAAAATAGATTTTGAAGCAGAATTTCTGCTGGGGGCTCAACGGAATCAGGCAACATTCAAACGCCACCTAGTGACCAACGCTGGAATGGCAGCGGGATTAAAAATTCTTGAGTGAAAAATCATCCATGATACTGCTTTTTTAAAACCAGGACAGAGAATTATTATTTTTCTAAGCAATGGGATGCTATCTAGGTTACATAAATAATAAGTTGCAAGTGATATTTTCGCAAGGGAAGGATTTTGTTCCTTGACCCAGTTCAAGGGGCATTTTCCGTCCAGCTTTATCTTCTTGCGAGAACAGGCAGACACTGGATCCTCCCACACTGGCCGCGATTACAGGCGTGTCTCAGGCGATTCAGAGTTAATTGAGGAATGCTATATTGTGCCACGGCTTCGTTTACAGAAAAAATCCAGGCACACTCTACACTTTTCATCACGCTCTTTCCTCCACGTGTACCCCGTGCTTTTACAAAACAGCTCATGCCAATCCAGTAAGCTGCCCCTTTCCAGGGGCATGGGGACAACCATCTATGTGAATAAGCTTTCATGTTGTTGCTGGACAGATTCAGCAGACTCACACCACAATCCAAGCCCTGACTCCGTGGCCGCTTCATCATGAAACCTTGTTTTTGCTAAGAATCTCGGAAGAGAAAGGGGACAGTAGAGATCACTCACATTCCTGGGATAACCTGCACGGGCCGGGGCCCTGCAGAGCACCGGCAGGCAGGCTGTCTCCTCCTGGGTGCTCACTGAAGACAAGTAAGATTATCATCTCTCATTCCTTGAAACATCCGTGGACTATTTCTAAACTTCTGGGTAAAAAGTCCAAGATTGCAGCCACGTAAAGGCAGCTCCCAACAAGCAGAAGTCATTGGGGGAGAAAATTTGTACTTCTTCCAGATGTGCAAATAACTGAGTATCAGAGGAAGAGACTGGGGAAATGACTTCAAAATGGAAACACAGTAGCCCCAGGAAACACGACTCAAACGTCAAGCCCCGAATAAGCTGATTAACGAAGCCAGTGGGCTTGCACGACCTCGGGATTTCAATCATCCAAGTTATTTACGGGTTCAGTCACCACAGGCAACCAGATTCCACGTGCAACTGAAAATCGGATTTGGGGTCCCTGAGCAACGTTGGTGGGAGCGTGGGGTCCCAGGGGGTCCCCACAGAAGAGCTGGGCTTCACCAGTCCAGCTTCAGGTCCGCCTTGCTCCACACGTATTTCCCGCCTCGCTTCAGAAACATCTTCTCATCAAAGCCACTGAATTTGATGGCTTCTTCTACGCCAACATCCAGGATGGACTTGGAAGGATCCTTCCGCCCGTTTCTACAGTTCAGGAAGCGCATCTAGGAATTGATGACAGAAGGTGTGATATTTCTGTGTAATTTATCCTGTAAAACTCAATTTTGGGGACTAACACAAAATGATTTTTTTTTTTTTAGTAGAGGTGCTGGGGATTGAACCCAGGACCTCTTACACCTTAAGCATGAACCCTACCACTGAGCTGTACCCTCCCTGCTCAGAATGAGTTTTGATATTCCAGTCATTTCAGCAAATGTTTCCCATGACCTGTGCACCATCTCTAGTGAGGATGCTGAATTCTGTGGACGTTCTCTCTGTACTCATCCAGCTGCCGTCACCGACATAAACACATCAGGCCAGGGAAGTGCATGACAAACACAATTATTCACTCATCACAGGACATGAATGTCCCTCCACTGGGGGCCGGGGGTGGGTAATCAGGAGAGGCTTTGGAACAATGTTGACATTCGAATTATATTCTGAAATTTTCAGCTGGAGAGAAGGGTATCGTAAAAGCCCAGAAGCACGTAATACCACAGTGTGTCTGGGAGACTGCGGGCAGATGATAACGCTGGGGTGAAAACTGTGTGCACAAATATGTAAGTGCAAATATTAATGAAAGCTTCTTTTAAGAAAGAGAGTAATAAGAAAAGAACTACAGAGGCAGACAGCCTCCCCATCACGAAGCGTCCCACATGCCCTGCTAAGGGCCTTGGTTTTTATCCTAAATTATGCATCTTACAGGTGGGAACCAGGTGCCCACACTCCCTATGCCCTACCATGGCACAGAACATTCTGCAGTCATACCTCTTGACTCAAAATGTTCTTAAATTGCCAAAAGTAAATTTTCTTCCCACTGTACTTACTCCAGCTGTACAGAGACCAGAGCGTTTGGGGAGGGACAGTAGTCAAAACTCCCAAAATGAATTCCCTTTGCCTCTTCCTCTCTGCCTTGCACCCACAAACTGAACATTCATGTTATCACCTTTCCCCCCATGCCCCCTAAAGAAAGTTCATATTGGAAAAAAAAATAAAATGATGGTGAAGCATCACTGATTAACTTGAAAATAGTAAAATATCAAAAGTCACAATAAGCATTTCTCGAAACACCAAATCCAGTGTAAATATGGAGAAGCCAATGTTCTTGTTGGAGCTCGTTTCTTAAAACCAGGTCTTTGAATGGAATTATTTGTCCTGTGCTAGAAATATTGGCAAAGATTTATGAATTTGGACCAAAAAAAAGAAAAAGAAAAAGAAAAGAAAAAGTGACAGGGCAAAGGAGAAGTGATTGTGTTTCAATTTTGAGAATGGCTGATTATCTTTGCCTTTGGAAGGCGGTGAGACAGAGACGTGTCAGTGGCTTTTGGAGAGGAACTGTAACCTCTTCTCTGCAAAGCCACGAGTTATCTGTCAGAGGACCAGCTGGCAGCATCTGAGGTGTTAAAGGCAGTAATGTGAAGTGCGGCATGCCCTTCCCACAGAGAGCCCTGGGCGCCCCGTGACCAGAGAACCCAGCCAAAGATGGCAGGACAGAGGAGTCTGCCTTGTGTGATGTCACCTCCATGTGACATCCATGCATCCATAGCCACATGGGAGACACCATCAAGTGTGTGTGTGTGTTGGGGGTGTCAGTGCAAACACAGGACCGAGTCCAAGCCAATACCAGCCCAAACACTTAGCTCAGAGCTCGACACGGTGAAGTCTCCATGATATTAATGCTGCTCAGTGACAATACAAATATGAAATGCCGGCTCGGAAGAGCGAGTCCGGGCTGAATGGTTATGCTCATTAGAACTCAACGCTGGCATTGCTGCTTGGTCAGTTTTTAAGGGATCATTTTATAATTCATGAGAAATACTCACATATTCATCCAGGATGAGGTAGGAATCTCTCATCTGCAAAGGAGAAATTACACACAAATTTAGCGTCAAGCGTGCTTTTCAGGGCGTACGCTCAGCAGCCTGTCTGACAACGTTTGGGTTTGATTACTTCTGGATTCAGCGCTTCTCCTCTCTCCTGAGTATCCCTGGGTGTGTCCCTTACAAGCTGAGCCACCTGCCAGTGCCCCATCCCTGCCTCACACACATCTCCAGGCGATCTTTTTGTGTCTATTCAGATTCTCACAGATCCGAGCAGGCTGGATTCTGCCCCATGCTGGACGGGGGACTCCAGAAGCATCTCTGACAATGAAATCCTCTGGCTGATTTCCCCATTTCCTCCGGCCCTGTCCCTCACTGTTCAATATCCCCCGTGTCCGCCACACCTCTGATGCCCACCTTGTTCAATGCATAAAGCAGAACTCCTAATGCTGCTACCTCGGAGCTTGCCTGAGGATTTTAATATTGTGTTACTTGTAACTAGTTATGCCTTTTACAGAGGGCGTACCTACACATCTATAGGAGGGTATTCCTTCACTGCCTAACCCTATTCTGCCAAAGTTTTTCTGTAAAGGACCACATGGTAAATATTTTCAGCCTTGCTGTCCGTGTGGTCTCCATGGCAACGAACAGCCCCTGCAGGGATCGCCACTGCAGACAGCACTTGGAGAGCGGGCGTGGCCGTGTTCCACTGACACTTTCCTGATGGGCCTTGAAAATTGCATTTTGTATAATTTTCATTGGTCACAAATGCCACTCTTGTTTTGATTTTCTTTCCCCAATCATTCTTGGCTTGCATTCTGGATTTGTCCCACTGTCTGGAGTTCGCTAACTCTTGTGCACGGCTAGGTCGGGACTTTGCTTTCGAACATCTGAAGGTGGCCCGGTGGCATCAGCGTCACCTGGCAGCTTGTTAAAATTTTGAATCATGGGTCCACCTCAGACCTGCTGGTTGGTTTGCAAACTCAGGAGTTCCCTGGGTGAAATCTGAAACCAGCCCCTCATACGTGGAGGGCAAGGAGAGACAGAGAAAGAGGCAGCCACTGCACATGGGCAGGCGGTGGGGTTAATAAGCCGGGGAACTTCCAGACAGGGCTTGTCTTGGGTGGCCTGCAAGACAAGGGGATCTCAGCCCCCTGCCAGAGTCTTAAAAGCTTACAGAGAAGGCTTAATTGGGTTCAGTTACATGTACCATCCAGGTGGCCTCAACCACACACGCTCTCAAGGATGCATCTCTGGAACAGCTCCCAGTGTGGGAGCGGGGCAGGAGGTACGTGCCAAGGACAGCGGAGGAGCAAGGAGCCTCCAGTCGCCTGGGTTCAACTCTGGTCCATCCTCATCAGATAATTTCTCCTCCCACTGTGCTGAGTCAAAATCTGCATTTTAACAAGCGTCCTGGGGGTTTGTCTGCACAACGAAGTTGGAAATGCACTCACTAGTAAGTTTCCCAAGCTTTGGGGTCATCCAGATCCTCGTTTGCCCCCTGCTGGGCTCTAAGTGGGGTCACTGAACCTGCCTCTGATGGGGATGAGGTCAGCTCACTTGCCTCTGATCGGTGAGGTCAGCTAACACTACGGCTCAGCCTCAGTCTTTCTAAAATGGGGGTAATGACGTCTGGCTCAACAAGTAGCAATACTTACTATGATGTCTATTTTCTTTGATTTCACATTAATTACATAATTGAGACAAATTTTAAGAAGTCAAATTTGATAGTACATTGATACGAGAATTCTCCTCTACCCTTTCTCCTCTTTTCCGGAGCTGCCCTGCCTCCCATTCAGAGATGCTCTGGTCAACATTACTCAGAAGTTCTAAAGTATAAAGAATGAATCTTTGTTCTGCAGTTCCTACTAGGATGTAAGCCTGTGAGGGAGAGACTTTGCTGCTAATGGGTTCTTTGGCGGAAGATGGGAAAAGCTTTTGATTTTTAAATGCTTTAAAAAACGATAATACAATTTATCTTAGGAAAATGTAAAGTCCAAACAGTTATCAAGGTAAACAGAAATTATTGGTTCTCCCAATACCCCAGGATGACCCTGGGACGTGTACTTACTTGCACACTAGGATTAAAGGTCATGACCAGAAAGTGACACATTGTAACTGACTACTGTACTTCAGTTTAAAAAAAAAAAGGTTAAATGAATTTTGCCTATTGTTCTTCATTTGCGCCTAAAAGATCATGGGGATTTAGCCTTCTCCCTAACAGCCTTTGGAATATGCTATTTGATCAGGATGACATTCCATGCTGTGAACACGAGTTTACCTGTTTTCTGGATGATAAATACCAGGAGACTTTTTACTACCATCCTTAACACTGCAGGAAGGTTGCTTTGAACAAGAAATTCTTTTTTTTCCTTAGCTTCTCAGAACACACCAATTATTTACCCTGCCTCTGGAAACACCTGGAAGCTCCGCAGTGTAGACATGCTCTGGCGAACATGGTTTGATCTACGTAATATATACATTTGGACCAGCAGGACTGACCCAACTCTTCACATTAGAAACCTAAAGATCCCTGAAACGCTGCTTCTGCCTCCGCCCTGAGGCTCCCCCCAGCTCTCTAGAGCCCTCTGAAGTAAGTTCCCTCTTTGGACAATCTACTTTGTGATGGGGAACAACGCGACTTTGCTTCGTACAACCTTCTGGTTAGACTCGGGCACCAGGCAGGGCACGTCTTTGTGGCGCTCCAGGAACCCTTCAAACTGTTCGTCGCTGATGACAAACCGCTCGGCTTCTCTCAGGGCGTCTTCTCCGGAATTCTCACCCTCAATCAGGAGGCACTGGAAGACCTGGAACACAAGCGTAGTGTTGGCTTCGTGAAACGCTTTCAATAAGTTTTTGCCCCAAATTTCACTTCCCCCAAACCAGGCTTCATCTTTCCAGAGCAAAAAAGATTCTCCCCTCTAAGGAACATGCTAGAAAGACGTTGCTCCAGGGAAACGAGATTGTGCCCCGAAATTTAGAGATATGATACTAGAAGCCCATTCCTAAAATACACGTTTTTAAAAACTGATCTAGATGGTGTTGATCCAGTCTGAGAAGCTATTTTTTCAGACTGCAAAACAATCGAAGGAAATATGAGCTATAAAAAGGCATCAAGAAAATAAATCAGTTTTCAGCCCTAAACCGAGAAATGAGTATTTTCAAAATGTTGTGTCTACTGATTTTTGACACAAGCTTATTAAGGCTGTTAGAACATGATTGTTTTTCAGGGAATAGGAAAGACAGCTTTCCAAAGCCATTAATAGCCTTTTCCAACACCCTTGTAAGTAAATCAGTTCGTGTGTGTAAGACGCATTGTTCCACCACAAGGGACACCTGCACCTGAACAGAACTCAGCCCCAGGCACTTGTCCAAGGTGACAGTAGGTGGCGCTGTTGAAGGTCAGAGCCGCACAGAGCCCAGGTAACGGTTTCGTGCACAGAAGCATTTAATTCACACTGTGGTCGGCTTAGAAGTAATTTTAAGTGCCCTAAATATCGCCTTCTTTGCTCATTCTCTCCCCCACTCACCCCTTCTCTGCCCCCACCCCCTCTGTTGGCTCTGGCCACGTGATAGTTTTCCCATTTGCTTTCGTGGCTGTCTTCCTCGGCAGGCTGTCTTGGGAGGGGACACCACTCATTTTGTCCCCAAAGCACCCATCCCCAGTCCAGGCAGAGCGGGAGGAGAGAGGCCTGGCAGGGGTGGGACTTCCACGTGGGTCAGAATCCCACGCTCACTCCAGTGTCAGGCGGGGAAGACACACGTGGCATCTTCCCTGGGGAGGGGTCCAGGATCCACCTGCTGGAACGTAGGGCCTCTCGCGGAAAAACCCACGTCACCGGAGCGGGAAGGGGAGTGAGCAGGGCAGAGGGGTGGGGTGAGCGGGAGCGGCTGGGCGCCGCAAGCCTGAGTTGGTTGCTGCCTGCTTGCTGACGAATCCCGGCCTGCCGGACGCTGGGGCGCTGCTGGCTGTGGACGCAGCCTGCAAGCCCGGAGCCTCCCGCGACGGGGGCTGCCTCCCGGGACCAGGTCCTGACGCACGTGGGTGATGGCGCACCTGATCCAGCTATACGGCAGTTTGCAGCCCACAGACCTCAGCGGTCGGAGGAGAACACTGTTCCCCAGACAGACAGCAGCTAATCCTCTCCCTCCAAAGCAAGTCAGGGTTTTGAAAAGGCAATTCTGGAGTGAACCAGACAAGTGGAAGCCAGAGTGGGGGGGGGGGGGAGGGAAGATGGAAGAAAAAAAGCCATGAGGTAGAGAAGAGGGGACAAGGAGCCGTGAGCAGACCAAACTATGAGAAAAAATATATATAAGTACATTAATGTGTATATACATTATGGAAGTGGGCCAGAGGTGGGGAAGCAGGACAGGAGAGTGGTGTCTGGCCGGTGGTTCTAGAAGGAAAATCTAAGAGCCTGGAGCTCAGCCCCCTGGCTCTCACCCGTCCCTCCCAGCTGGGCCGTAGCCTGGGGTCCTCTTGTCACCCTCTTTCTGTCACTGTTTTCGGTTCCTCCTGGGCCTGGGAGAGTGCCAGCATGTAACCAGAGTTCAAGTTCAATATACTAATTACATTTTTTTTAAAGGAAGAACCATTTCTAGCTTCCCCTAACGCATTTCCAAATATTACAGGATAACCTCAGGAAAATAACACAATAACCCCATTCCTCGTCTGCCCAGCCCTGCTCTGAACGCCTACGTGGGATTTACAGCACATCCTGGGCAGCTTTGACAGGGAAGATCTCCTTTGTGTCTGGACAGGACTCTCTTCCCTACCTGTGGAAATTTCGTCCACCTGCCAGAGCACAGCCAAACGCCACCTCCTATGTGAGGTCTTCATGGCGCTTTGGCAGAATTAAACCTGGCCTGTTTTGCCCTCCCACGGTATCCGAGCACACATAGCTTTATCTTACATGAGTTTTGCTCGCCTCTTTCCCTTGCTGGAATTGAAGTCTACATCTTCTCCTTACTTGCGTCTACTCTGGGGTCCAGGCACAGACTTTGGAGAGCCGCGTAACGATCGCTGGGGTAGCTTGTTAAGACCCCATATTCACCCAAGCTCTTGCGCTAATCTGTTTCAGGACAGTGGGTGTGGGATAAAGCCTAAGGAGCTGTTTTTAAATAGTCCCCTGAATTGATTCTGAAGGACAGTTGAGGTGGAAATCTTCAGTTTATAATTGTTTGCTAGAGGCTGCACATTGTAGATGCTGTAAAAACACCCTGGACTGGCTTACGTGGTATTTGAACTCTGTACGTTTTAGTAGCTGATAAAGGGGCCAAGTCTTAAAGCATGCAACTGGGTGAATGCATTTTGCTACAATTCGGAGATGTCCTTGCTCACAGTATCTTCTAGTGATTCAATGAAAAAAATAACTAACAATTTATGAAGAACATATATCCATTTATAAATAAGCCAAGATTTTTTGAGATGAAATCAGTCTTAGTATTTTAATGAGCATATCTGAGTTAGGCTTCCTATGAACATAACCTTCAGAGCATCTCCAAACACTTGGCGTATTTTTTTTTTAATATTTACTTTCACAGTGTTCCAGAAGGGAATCAGTTCCAGTTTGAACAAGGGTAGTTGAGGCAGAGAGAATGTAAGTGGTTAAAATTTAGCAGAGCTGAAAGACGGACCAAGTGAGGCAGGAAGCCCCATAAAAAGACGAGAAGGACCCCCAAACAGGGGGTCCTGTTACTACTCTCCTGCCAGCACCATCCAGTTCCCTGGCCCAGAGGCTCTGTCTCACTTTTTGCCTCTGAAATAGCTTACTTACACATAAAATTCTATTGATTCCCTGAGCTCACTCCTGATTGGTTCATTTCCTCCACTCCTGATTGGTTCATTTCCCTAACTTCTGATTGGTCCATTTTGTAGTACTTCATTTGCATGGAGCTCACTCCTGATTATTTCTGTCACTCCTGATTGGTCCACTTCCCTCACTCCTGATTGGTTGTTTCTCTCCCTCCTGATTGGGCCACTCCTACAAAGCTTGTTCTTAATTAGTCAATTTTCCTTATACCTCATTTACATATGATGTTGCAAAGTGTAAACTGGCAGCCTATAAAAGCCGGTGTAAACTTACAGACGGGGTCCAGAGGTTGGAGAGTTAACTCCTCTGGGCCCACTGTTGCAATAAACCTGAGTTCTCTAGCTCTCCATGTGCTGTTTGGTCTCTAGCCCAGATCCAGATTGCTGTCTCAACTGAGCTGTAACACATTTTTCCACAACACAAGGACCCACTTTCTTGACTGGCTCACCGTGTCCAGAGCTCTCTGTACCTTTAGTTTCACTCAAGCCAGTCTCTTCTGAATGTTCTCTTAACTACAATCAGAAAAGAGATATGGTGCTTACCTTCCAGCGGACAGGGTTCAGTTCTCTAATTTGTTCCCTCATATCCTCGTCTACGTTGAATCGATTGATGACAGAATTTATCTTGAAGGCCACTCTGTAATCCCTACACCAGGTCCTCAATTTTTGGAGATTTTCCACGTGGTTCTTCTTTCCTTGACCACGGCCAATAAGGACATTGACTTGCTCGTCAAAGCTGTCACAGGAGATGGCGAGAATGTCCAAATATTCACCTGAGGGAAAACGACCACTTTAGTCTTTTCCGCCCTAGGATCAGATATCAGGTCTTTAAGCCAGAGGATTAGGGACCACATAGGGACGCATCATCATGTTTGCTCCTCGTGACATCCGACAGTATTTCAGAACGTTTGCAAGTGTTCTTATTTGGGAGATTTAACACAGACTGTAGAGCTATTATGCGTCTTTAATAACGGGAGCGTATGGCAACGCCAACCCTGAACTCCGCTGTAGTGTGAAAATCGGTGGAAACTCACACCTGGCTGTCCGCGTGTCGGCTCTGAGTAGACCTCCCACTTCCGGATTGTCTCCCCACCACTAACGCTGGTTTTCCTTACGCACTTCCAAATTTGCTAACATGCACCACCTCTCCCATACAAGCATCTGAGCTTTTGACCCTCAGATACAGCAGTCCTCTGGCCCCCAGTCTTCACACCACACTGACAAGCGTGTGGACCCCATTTTGGAGGGAGAGTGGCGCCTGGGGACACAGCTGGCAAACCCAACTGATTATTCTCTGCTCACATTTCTCCCTAACCTGTCTTCTCTCTCTGAATACGGTTCCAAAGCTTCCTTTTAAACTTCTGAACCCCTCTTTGACTGAGTGACTCCCTTCCCAGATGGTTTGATGTTAACTAACTGCCTTCTGGTCTTCCTGTGAACCTTCATCCAATAGGATATGCTACCCACATCCACACCTGCCCTCTCCATCCTCCCACCTCCATTTCCTCACCATCTTCACCAGCAGAGATTTTCTGTGAACTTCCTCAACA